GTGTTCCTCTCAGAAAGCCCATGTGTGCAATGATGGTTTCTAAGCTGTGCTCTGATGTTTACAGAGCACTGTAGGCTCTTCCCATTAACATACAACTGTATAAGACAGGTTGAACTCCATTAGGAGCTAAATTTAGTGACTCGCTAACTTCTTTCTGATATGTTTTTATAATTTCATTGTATTATGACACTTGGGTTTAAATTTGCATGAGTAAATGAGCCTCTCACCAAGTCAGGTAAAAAGATTTTTCACTTTATCTACCATGAAATAAGACATTAAAAAAATGGTGAGAGCAGAAAGCAATGTATCCTTGACATATTTAGTTTACATTTGTTTCAACTGTGCTGACGGAACATTTCTAACCATTAGTGATACAATGAAGCTGTTTGTGCTGCTTTAACAGGCTATCGGATTTCACATTATGAAGACATTTTGTAATTAATTTAGTATTTGAGGGGAAAACATTGTTTTTGAAAATACATATTTACATTTAAATACATTCACAATCCAAATTGTAAGATGCAGTGAGTGCAAGGTTGGACCAGATGATCCTTCAGGTCTCTTCCAGCCTGGGTTATTCTAGCTTAGTCCAGTCCATTCCATTCCATATGGTCAGTGAAGCTCCTGCAGCTGGTTGAAGATCAGACTTCACACCTTCATCCCTGCCATCACAGGGAGTTCCAGCAGCTTCTGTTCCACTAACATGGATTTACAGTCCGTATTTAAGGCACATCTGAACCTGTTATTCAGGATAACCTTGGCAAGACCTGAACAACTTTGAGATCTGCAGTTTAAAGGTATTTTTCCCCTCTTGTTTCCTCTCCAAGGAGAGGAGAGAGACCACCCAGGCTTCTGCTGCTGGTGGGATTTGGGGGATGTATCTGGGCAGAGGCCAGCATGGCAAGAGCGTCCCTCTGTTTCAGGTGGGCAATTAGCAGCAAGGAGGTGGCAGTGATGCTCATCTGGTCCTGACCTGTTCTGTGGTGACGAGAGCTTGTGGAGGTGAAAGTCCCTCTGTTAATTATGTGGCTTTTTGCTCTCCCCAGCTCTTGACGTCACCGGTTTTAATCTGTTTGTCTCATTGATTTTTTTCCCTTCTCCTTTCCCCCCCATTTCATTAATAGTGACAGATGCTTTTAATTAAAAAGAAAAGGCAAAACAAAATCCTGAGTAAAACAAAAAGAGAATATTCTAATTTGGCATGACATTATGAGGCAGAATGGCTCCTGGCATGCAAGGTATGGAAAAGGTCATCTTCCACGGCTACAGCCTTTTGCAATGGTGGAATTAAGTTCAAACTCAGGCTGGTTTTGAAGTCTTAAGTCTCTCCAGGGATTCCTTTCATAACATCTTCGAACTGGATAACACTACAGTAAATGAAATACACTGCACTGGATTAAAGGGTTATTTCCCCTGTGTGTCAAGCTGACACAGAATACCAAACCTCAGGTTGCCTTCGAGTTGTCTCTATCTGCTGATACCCTCTCTGCTTCCCATAACAGCTCTTGGAGTTTGTGCAGAGAAGTTTTGTGATTATTTATTTGGCTTTGCCGCTTGGTGAATGCGGAACGATTTTATACAACAAGGAACCAAAATAAAGCAACTAAATGGAGAAGGAATTTAATGGGGTGAAACACGTGAAGGAAGCAATGCAGGAAAGAGCAGAGCTGCCTCTTCAGGTCTATACACTGCTCTATAATTTATACTGAAATACAAAATATAGATCTCTGCATTGCCACTCGTATGTTCAGCAGCACAGAGCTTGCAATAACGACAGGGTATGATATACGCTACTGAGCTCTTATCTGACTGTACCAACAGTTAAAATTTGTTAAGGATCATTTGCAATGTGTTTTGTTGTAGAACAAATGTTCATTTTGACTTTGAACTTGGTGTATGCTGTAGCTTGCGCAGATTGCGTTTAGCACCGGGTAACCAAACCACTGCCATCTGCACAGTGCCAGGGACCACCGTGGCTGAGCTCCAGAGCACGTCCCTCCCTCTCCACACTGGGGAAGAGATGTGTGGATTTAAACATTGACATGTCAGCTCCTCTAGCTCCATCATGGCATGCAGAAAAGGTCTTGGGTCTTCCTTTCCCTACCAAAACATGGATTAAAGGCCACTCTGAAATGATGGAGCACCTGTAAAACACTGATGGTGCAGTAACTTTTCTGGCACTGAAAAAGAAAACTCTTTCTTCTCCCTTCTTGCCTCTTCCCATTTTATTTTGTCCAAAGTGGCCCAAGGCTGGCTTTGTCATATGGAAAACTGGAGTTTTCTTGTAAAGTGTATGTATAACATAAAATGCATCCCTCCCTATTCTTGATATGTTGGGGGTTGGTAAAAACAGGGCACTGTGCTCTGTACGTCGGTGTGTACCTCTGGTTTCTGTACTCGGTATTGAATCTGTCTTATGTCTGTGTGGTTCCACATCCTCCCGCACAATTTTCTCTGGATTTTCTTAAGGATACCACTGGAACAAACACTACCAACTGCTGCTCCTCTCAACCAACCCCAAAACTCTCTCCTTGATGGCTTATGGGATTGGTGAGGGCTGCTGCCCATGCTGCCTGCTCTTCACGGCGGTGGGGAGAGAGGCTGGGCTAATGAAAAGTTGGATTTGAAACATGGTTTGTCTCCATTAGCTTTTGGGATATGATGCGGGCTGGTTGGGACCTGCGTGCTGACCTTGGGCTCCATGGAGGACGTTCCAGCGGGAGCTGCATGTGCTGGCAGGGGGTTTCTGCCAGCGTGCTCCTCGAGGAGGTGTCTCTGCAGGCATCAGGTCCCTCCGTTTCCAAGTGTTATTCACATATAAACACCCACATGCATTAAAAACATTTTGGAAGCGATAGTTTTGGGTTTCTGTGGTCCATGAGTAATGAAAGCCAGCAGCATTTTTAGATTTACCTCTCGCTGAACAATCCGGGAGCAGAAGCAGGGGCAGGGAATTTGCATGTGCTGCTTTTCTGGGTTGGCTGGAGGTATCGGCACGCTCCCGCGCCGCAGCCTTGAGACGGTCTGTGTCTTTCCAGGAGGCCTGAAATCTCTCTGGAAAAGCTGGGACATATTGGAAATCTGCTCCGAGCTTTAGCACTTCCTCCGGATTATTGCTTCAAGCATTCAAAAATATATTTTATAACACTAAAATAAATGTTAATGAGTCTGCATTGCTTATGGCTAACAATAGTGTTTCTATTTAAATAGAGCAGCCTAGCAGGGCGGGCGTTCAGCGGTGGAGGAGCTGGATGAGGAGACCTGGCTTTTTGTTTCTGACTTGATCCTTGATGTCTTGAGCAGTTTTATTCTCTTGTGCTTTGCTTATTCCCGTTCTGCTAAATAGCGGTGAAAAGCTTCCTCGCTTTGTTAAAGCGCCTGGGGTTTATCAAAGGCCTCTGGGCAAGTGTTAAATACTGATCTGGGTATAAAACCTGATATTTAGTATTATGTTTATACCTCTTCAATGTTAGCATGTATTTTTATATACTCCTTGCAGTGACCTTTGTGCTTTTCCAACCAACTGAGGCTGGAAAATGAGTCTCCTTGACTCAGGGATCTTTTCTTTTCCCACCAGCAGGAATGGCACCTTCTTAGTAATTGTGTAAATATGTTTTTTTTGGGGGTGCTTTTGGTGTTTGGGCTGGGGCTCACAGTGCTGGAGATGCCAGTTACATACAGAAGATGGAAGAGTAATCATGAGAAAAATGATAGCATGGAAGTCAGCTCCTTTCATCTTTGTTCTTTTTTTCAGTTGCTTACAATGAAATGTAAGCAGTTGAAAGCAATGAAATGTAAGCAACTTAGCATGTAGGGACAGGCCAAGGGGAATGGCTTTAACCTGACAGAGGGGAGATTGAGATGAGCTCTTAGGCAGAAGCTCTTCCCTGTGAGGGTGCTGAGGCGCTGGCACAGGGTGCCCAGAGAAGCTATGGCTGCCCCATCGCTGGCAGTGTTCAAGGCCAGGTTGGACACAGGGGCTTGGGGCAAGCTGCTCTAGTGGAAGGTGTCCCTGCCCGTGGCAGGGGTTGGAGCTGGATGAGCTTTAAGGTCTCGTCCACCCAAACCACTCTGAGTCTATGAAATTACTGCTTAAGGATCTCAACTGCCTTGTTAAGTGGATGGTGATTTGGGGAGGCAAATGGGGAGGAGGTGGCTATCCCAGGGTGAGCTGGGGAGCCTTGGGCTGCCTTAAAGAGCCTGCTCAGGAGCAGGGCACGGAGTCAGCGGTGGGAGAGGGGTAGGAGTAGATGGGGTGGCAGGAATTCAACCTTGGCATCATGTCAGAGGCACCAAGCCCTTCTCTGAGCAGCTGCATACCCCACGAATGGGAAGCCAAATGGTTTGTTTGTGTGTTTACATGGATATGTGGGTCTGTGTAGGGGAAAACCACTTAGCAGAAATGCTGCTATTAAAGCCGATGGTGGGAGATTAATCTGGGGTTTAGGGTCTTCCTCCTTGCTGGTACGGTGACCAAATTATGCATTCCTTTCTATGCTAGGAGTCCTTTCCTCGTTACAGGGTATGGAGGAGTTGTGATTCCTGAAACTCTCAGCTCTTCTCTTGCTTTCTCAAGAGCAGTTGAGCTGACGCAGCTCAACTTTTGGGGTGCAAAAGTGTGTTTGTTGGGTTTGTTTGACCCGTGCTCTTTCCACACTGTTCTCTGCTCAAGCCTTTTCCCTGTGCTCCCATGTGGTCTCGACCCATCTCAGTTTGGTGGGCAGCTGCCTCCTCCTGCAAACCCATGGAAGCCCCTCTGCTGCTGTTCCAGTGCTGGTTGTTATGCTAGATTATTTTTTCCCCTTTTCCATTATAGAAATTGCTCCTTTTCCCCCCTGCCATATCACTGACAGCTGCTTCCTCCTTGACACTTGTGATATGTGTGTATGTGCATGAAAACAGTAGGAAGCATTTATGTAGGTGTCACTAATTTAATTTAATCTGATATGGATGTATAGAGAGGACTGTGGTGCACTAAAATCCTTCTCTTTATTTTACAGTCTCCATCGTCATCAAATACAACTCCTTTCATTCTCCTCTTCCATTCACCTACCCAAAGACCAAATCTGGAAATAGTAACCAAAAGAGAAGCCCACGTCATACACAAAGCAGGGAAAGATTGAAATAATTTAAGGGTAAGTAATCTTTTTTACCCTTCTTCTAACTTGCAGCTTTGTGTGTAAAGCTACAATAGTAAGGGCAAGGCTGGATAAAGAAGCTCTAAAGCAAATACCCAGCTGCTTTATGTGTAAAAATGACTGAAATGCTGATTTGGTGGTGTAAGCAAGGTATAGCAGCACCTTTGGCAGGTGAGAAAGAGCCCTGAAGGGCAGCGTGCTGGCATCTTGGAGTGTTGGCACTGTTTGTTCTCACCCTGGTTTGATCTGTGCTTCTGTCTAGGTAAAGGTGATGTCTCTGCATGGGTCATGGGCTTTGTATGGGTTTGGCTGGTTGGAGATAGCTTTCCAGTGGAGAAGGAGCTGGGAGTTCAGCATCTCCAGCTACTGAAAAGCTCATTTGTCATCTCCTCCTCTCTTTTCCACTTTAAACATTACTCAGCTGTGGTTGCAAGCTACGGTTGATCCGTTTGCGTGGGGCAGGATGTTTTGGCTTGCTGTTGCTTTCTGCAATCCCCTGGGTGCTGTGGGCTCCGTGAGCTGTTCCTGGAGAGCAACCTGGTGGTGCCAGTGCCAGGATATTCCAAAGGGAAGCACTGATGGGGGTGGAGGAGGGACAGACCTGAAGGGCAGAGCGTGGAGGGCCTCTCGGTGGAAATGTTTGCCTTAAGGCTTTTCTTTTGCTGTGAAGGTGGCGAATAAGATAGGAGGAGATAGAAAATCAGCTTTTGTGATTCAGACCCCTGGGTGAAGCATTAGTAATCTGCAAATGGTAGGGAATGCATTTTCCCACCCTAGTCCCAGATCTGTGCCTGCATATATTGCATTTCCACACATGCTCTTTCGTAGATGGACAGGATATGTGTTCGCTTACATTAGAGAACTTAGCTTTAAACATCTGGGTTTTCTGGTTTATTGCTGCCTTTTTTATATCCTGGTGTTTTTTTTTCTTACCCCTGCAATGTTTGTTCATGCAAAATTCATATCTGGGAAGGGCATCTTAAATCCCTGCTTCTGAGTCAAAAAGGGAAAGTATGGAAGTGAAAAGAGAGATTGTATCATTTAAGAAATATGATTCATGAATTAATCCTCGTCTGCTACACCATCTGTGGCATGTGTTTCAATACAAAAATCCTGTTTTTATATCTCTTTAAAAAGCTTTCTTCTTGCTGGCTGCCCGAGTTTTCTGCAACACTAATGGGGAATTAGCTTCTTTCTGGGGAGAGACTGGTGGTTTTTAGTCACAGCCTGGGCAGGGGACCCCAACCTGTGTTCAAGCTGTGCGTCACTGGAGGGGACACAGGTTTTTGGGGTGACAGCTCTCTGTGTAATGCCATGAGTCTGACTTGACTGCAAAGCCTGTACACAACTGCTTTTTGCATTGGAAGTATAGCTGGGTCTTCCCACCGCCGTGGTGGGGATGGTGCAGGAGATGGGCAGGAGTTGCAGGCAGCTAACTAGATTGTTCTGCACAGGAGTGACAAATGAGTCATGGGTTCTAGAAGTGGACTGGCAGGGTATTTTGTACCTGGTGCTCTGGAACACAAGGGATCGAGGTAGTCCCCATCCTCTGTTTCTTAGCAATGATGCTGTAATCTCTCTGTAGATACAGAGAAAGGGTTGCCCATCATTGCCCCAAAGAGGAGCTGCTACACTTCGTGCCTTCATGAGAAATAAAGGGGCACTGGTGGGTTTTGGGGTGACTGGAAAAGAGTCTTCTTTTTTAATTTGATTCCTGGAATTGTTCTGCAGCCTTTTTACAGGGAACAGTATTCCTTTTATTCCTTAAGCTGTACACCTGGCTTGCTGCTGGAGTCACACCTGAGGGGTGTGAGCCTTTTTTTCTCCTTTGCATCAGGGTCCATGAGCATTTCAGCGTGTGTATCCCTCACTGGTCCCTTTCCTTGATCGGTCCCTTTCCTGGACCAGGGCATCTTGCTGCCAGGGGTTGCTCCATCAGTTTCTCCTCTGCTCCACCTGGGACACAGGTAAAAGCTGGAGTGCTCTTTCCCTTGTTCTGGAGGAGCATCCCAGGATGCTGGACATGGTGAATGCCTGTTACCCTTGCCACATCCCACGGTGGCCTCAGCCCATGACATGGCAATGTACCCACATGGCTGCAGCCTCTTCTCTGCCGGGGTCACTAATGTACTGTAAGTACAGCTCCGGTGAGCTCCCAGGCGCTGATAATGCTGATAGATGGAGGTTATCCCGGAACTCCGTACCAGTGGTGAAATATTGCAGGTTTATTGCCTTTCCATTCATTTTGGTTTCACGCCTTTCTGCCTTCCTGACTCATTGCTGCTCGGCCTCTGCTTGCAGTTTCTATTTGCTGTGGGAACACCCACTGGACAAGGCGGGAACGTTGCAAGCACTGATGTGATGCTTGCAATAGCTTTTGGAGCTTTCCTGCTTTTTAATTGAGCAGCTAAAGGCGGGACGGGTGACAGAAAGGAAAACGTTAGTGATGCCTTTTGTCACAAGCATGAATAAAGTATTCAAATGAAGGAGCAGCAGCAGAAATGCCTCTTGGGTTGTGTGTGGCTGGCTGGTGTAGGAGTTAGGCTGAAATGGCCATCCCTATATTTAGCATAGGCTTTGTCCCTAAAGGCCTCCTCGCGGAAACTGGCTACCAAGACAGTATCAACAGTGGGAGATGCTCTGCCCCATACCCGGGGCTGAGCATATTTAGGCTCTTGAATGATCCCTAAGAAATGTTCTCCATTTCCCCTCTATTATTACAAATCCCTTTCTGCCTGCTCATTTGGGAATGTGTAACTGCACACAATTCCACAAGCACCAAGTACCCCAATGCTACCGTAAACAGGGAAATAATCTCAAGGGATGTTTAACCCAAAATGGAATTAGACTGAATTACAGACTTCTGCATGGAAAACGCTCGTGGAAATGCAAACCAGAACAGCACCCAGCTCTGTGTCCATCTCACACATGCACACACACCTTGTCTTTCACGGCTTTTGTTTAACTTGAGCTACTTGTGTGCCTTTACAATATTTTGCAGTTTTGCATATTCCTTAATTGCTTCAATCATTTTCTTTATCTGGGTTTCTAAGTTGGCTATTCTTTATCTGCTGCATGCTGTAGTCTGGGGTCTGTTCTGTGAACCTCCACCCCTGCTGGGTGTTTGCTGCTGCCTCCTGTGCCAGCTGCTGCACAATCCCATCACCACCATCTCCGTAAAAGGAGGGTTATGGACCTTGAGAAGGTCCTGTGCTTATGCAGCCAGCAATAGCATCTTGCAAACATCTTTCAGACCCTACAGAAGTTCTGCTAGTAAAAGAAACGCAACAAAACCAAGCACTAAACCACAGAAATTCGACCACAAATGGGAAAAGAGAAGCAGTCCAAGCATTTTCATAAGCGTATTCCATTAGCCATGGGGTTTTACTTTTTATTTCAAGCTCTTATTAAAATTCAGCAGCTTTTATTTAATGAAAAAAAGGGAAATGTTTATGCTCAGCATAGGCTCTTATTTCCATCACAGTGTGAGCCTGTGAACATGGGGTCCAGTGGATCTCCCCTGGTTTCTCTTCCCTCCTTCCAGGGCACCCCCCATCAATGCGGGTCCCTGCCTAGGGCTGGGAGGGTGATGATGCTCGGTGGTAGAGCACACGTGACAGCAGCCAGTTTCTTGTGGGAAGCTAATGAAGAGATGAGAAGCATCGATTCCCCTCTATTTGTTAGGACCCTAGTGAAACAGCTGTTTGTTTCTCATAAACAATTATGCCAAGACGGAAATTGGCTTGTGTCTGTACGTACTTTTTGGATGGGGGAAATTAAGCAGTAATAGCTGGAAAAATAATATGGGCTATGAGATAATAGATGCCTAAGGGATAAAATTAAACAGTATTTTACAACGAAGGAAGAGGTTTTGGCAATAAATAGTTTGCGTTTGACTTCTTTTTGTTTGCCAGAGGACTGATGCTGTTCGGGAGAGGTTGTCCTGGGATGTGTTTTCCAAACAGACGTAGGAAAATAGTGAAGGTATTTTTATTGTTTTTGTTCCTTCCAAGAAGGATGGAGCCAAGGCCGGGGTGCAGCTCACACTTGTCTACACCACCACTGTGTTGGCTATGATAGGGATGTGGATACCAAGGCTTGCTTCGAGAAACGTTGCTAGTGCAGAAGGATGCTTAAAAGAAAACAGCAAGGTTCAACAAAGTGGACACAGGAGTTGTTTGAAATGCCATAGGGAGGCCTAAAAGCACAGGAAGGGGGAGTGGTGTGTCTGGCCCCATGACAGGGTCGAAACAGAGTTTATTCATAGAATCATAGAATCATAGAGTAGTTAGGGTTGGAAAGGACCTTAAGATCATCCAGTCCCAACCTCCCTGCCATGGACAGGGACACCTCACACTAAACCATCTCACCCAAGGCCTCGTCCAACCTGGCCTTGGACGCCGCCAGGGATGGAGCATTCACAACCTCCCTGGGCAACCCATTCCAGTGCCTCACCACCCTCACAGTAAGGAACTTCTTCCTTATATCCAATCTAAACTTCCCCTGTTTAAGTTTGAACCCATTAGCCCTTGTCCTATCACTACAGTCCCTAATGAAGAGTCCCTCCCCAGCATGCCTGTAGGCCCTCTATTCAGGATGCATGTGTGCTGGTGTGGCGCTTGGCTAGCTTTGGGCTGCTGCAGAAGCCCCTTTCCAGTAATGCAATGACAAAGGGATGTGGTTTGGCTCTGCCACCCCTGCACTACGTGCTTTTCCATACCTGCTCTGTGAGCACCTTGCTGGGGTGTAATGCTGTTTTCACTCTTTCACGTGGCTGGTGCTGCCATCTCTTCCAACTTCTGCATAGGGGATGTGCAGAGTGAGGCCAGGCAAGTGCCTGGGCACCGTTGCAGGCCATATTTCCTTCCTCTTCACCTTGTGGGAAATAAAGAACCGGTCAGAGCTGTAAACCCTAATCTCATCCTCCTGAGGACAGATCCGGGTGCAGCAGGTCGAGATCTGAGGTCTTTGGCTCATGCTTATCCCTGCTCTCAGCT